TCAGAATTCGCTTCAGGCAGGGCCTGCAGCCAGCAATGGCTAAGAAGAGAGCAGCAGTGAACTCCCCCTCTGATGCTGTGCTGCAGCCCACAGCCCAGCCCAACAAAACTCCTCCTCCCCCGTTGCCCAGGAGAGGAGAGAAAAAGGTAAACATTAGCTTTTCCTCTGCCCCATTTCCTAGGAGACTAATCTCAACCATTAGCCAGGCCAACTAGCCCTTTTGTACTCTTAAGTGCTTATCTAATAGCTCTTGATGGTTTCTACCACCAGGGGGAAGGGAAAGAAAAAATTCCTTGCTTAGCTGAACCATGACAAACATTCAGATTGTTGTGACAGGAAAGTTGTGATTGGAAGAGAGGGTCCTGCAGAGGTGGGGCAGCACTGTTCTGAGCCAACTTCTTTTTTTGCCTTGAGACTCATGATCAGTGCACCTGCATCAAACCCCCACAACTCACTTCCTGGAGGACTCAAAAGGGCTGGCTACTCATTTGCAGACAGTATAGCATGAATCATGTGAAAAATCTATTTTACATTAGAGGCGTGCACCAAGCAAATTATAAAACAAAGTGGATCAATCCCACTTGCTCTCTTTTTCTGTTTTTCTCTACTTCTCTTTGTTGACCCCAGATACAGACCATCCACAGCGACAGGACAACGTGGGATCTAAGGACTGGTGATCTGTCTGTAGAGGGTCTCATCTGCTTGGTTTTCCGAGCCTGTAGCAGACCCCTACTATCATGTCACTTGTCCCTGCCCTCCTTTTAATCCCATAAGAGCATAAGCTCTCAGTCAGCTCCTCATCCATCCCCAGGCAGAGCTTCATGCACTCCAGATGGTCATTGACATAGAGGCCTGCACCACCTCCTTGTCTCCTCTGCCTGTTCTTCCTAAAGAGCCTGTATGCTTCCATTCCAACACTCCAGTCATAGGAACCATCCCATCATGTCTTCATAATACAAATAAGTTCATAGCCCTGCAGGCATGTGCACATCTCCTCCTGTTTATTCCCCATGTTGCATGTGTTTGCATAGAGGCATTTAAGCTGAGCCCCCAATGAAGCTGACTTTCTGTCTGGAGTGGCTGAAATTCAGGTGCTCTTATGCTGACCTGCAATCCCTCTTCAGGCTTTGGGCATCTCTTGCTGGCTCCAGCATCTTACTACTATGAGTGGGATGGCATGTCATCCCTCACCTTATTGCTGGCAATACTGAGGACACCCCCCTCGCCCATCACATCTAGTTTAAAGCCCTATCAACAAGCCCCGCTAGTTCCTGACCATAGATCCTCTTCTCCTTTTGAGAGAGGTGAATCCCATCTGATGCCAGCAAGTCTGGTGCCATGTAGAGCATTGTCTTAGTTAAATGACAATATGTCTAAGAAGGCAAGACCTCTGATGAGGTAGAAATTTCTTCTCATTCATTTATTTCCCTCCAGCTAAATTACGATTTTTTTTTTAAATTATGAGGCATCTGAGTGAAGTAGGAAAATTAATAACAGTTTTACTAAAAATGGAGAACAAAACAAAAACAAACTATAGCAGAAAAAATGTCACCTAAACCACCCCCTCGGTTCTGTCCCACTGAGATGGCAGCATGGTCCTGCTTGAGGTCACGTGATTGTGATGTAGCTGGAGCAGAGCCATGGCTGCGTGAGTGGATGACACATGAAGTTCAAAAAGGGGAGCTCTCAAATCCTTTCAGTGCAGTTGCAGCCACAGCCATCAGAGGCACCAGGAGCCCTCAGGACCTGGTGGTTGCTGTGGCAACAGGAAAGCTCCTGTCCAATACAGGAACCGTGAAGCTAGAGGGTGGAGCAGGTTCGGTGGAGGGTGACCAGGTGCTAAGCACAACGAACAAACGGGAAAGGGGAATACCCAGATTCCTTTTAGCCTTACTGCCGCAGTGAACGGTAGACCCCCTGCTGGGCACGGGAACAAGGAAGCTAGAGCATGGAGCAGGTCTGGGGACGCAGCAGCCAGTGACTTCCTCTGAATTACAGCCACAGGAACCAGAAAGAGAGAGTTCCTGAAATGCTAGTAAGTTTTATCTTCCTAAGTTCTTTCAGTATTTCCTCCAGGGACCCCTCATGCCTCCCCACCCCCTCCCTGCAGAGAGAGACGAGGAAGGGGGGGTGTCCCTCACACTTTCTGAAATTATATGATGGTATGAAAAAATTCAACCAAAATAATATCTTCATTTAGCTAAACTATAACAGGCATCCTATTGTCAAAGAAAACAAAATTTTGGTGGTGACACCAGCCACAGAGCCATGTGTTAATAAACTGGGTCTGTCTATTTCTTTCAACATCACTGACTAGAAGTGGATGAATAGAGGAAAAAATAACTAGTGTTCCTGATTCCCTCACTAACTGTCCCAAGGTCTTGAAGTCTCTTTTGATTGCCCTTAGACTACGTGTCACTGTGGTGTCCCACCTTGAAGGGGAAGGGAGCAGCCAAGATGATCTGCAAAAACTTAAAAATTTTTATTAGCAAATTATATACTTGGCATGAAAATTGGTATAAGTCCCTTCTACTACAAACACATGATGGTGGATTTTGTATGAGGTAGGGTGAAAGAGAAGAGAGAGAAGAGAATAAAGAGAGGGTGAGAGAAAGAAAGGAAGAAAGAAATATCACCAGTCCTGGTTCCAGGATCAATCCAGCTGATGCAGTCTCCAGGGTCCTGGGGGCACCACCTGGGCTTTGAGGGGGTACCTTTTTATAGATAAGTTTTGCCACCCTGGAGCTAAGTTTCTTGCTTTCCATGCAAATTAGCTATCCTGTGCAGTTTATCCTAGATGTTTCTGGAAAGGGGTCAGAGAGCTTTTGGGGTCTTTGGTGGTCTTGATCCCCCCATACTGGATCTATGTTTGTTCAACAGTCCATGCCCACTTCTTGACCTCATTCCTGTGCTTGCACTGTACTGTGTTGTGCTTTCCTCCAGGAACCAGAACAAGTATGTTCTTCCCAGAAAAGTGCTGGCATCATGATGGAGTCACAGAAAGAGCATATTAAGGAAGACCCTTTTTGCCCCTGTATTCCAATCACACCTCCCATATGTAAACTTTGGGGGATGACTAACTGTTGAAATAACAATTTACTAAAATCACAATAACAATGGCAATATCAATAGCAAAAGTATATAAAAAGAGAGTGTCCTACCCACAAAAGGGCATTCATCACCGGGAACAAAACAAAAGCTTCCTGAAGACAGCGTCCGGCATGGTCTTCAGACAAAGGCAATATGGTGACCATTCCTGTGCCCAGGCCACTTGGTATTCAGGAAACAAAGGCAATAAGGTGAGGAGAGCTCCCACAGTTTAATGTTCTCACCCTCCCCAGCCCGAAAACCACAGAAAGCAGGGACAAACAAACCCTGGAGAGCTAGTTTGTTCAAATAAGGGGTTGTGCAGCCACTGACTGAGCTCAGTTCTCTGCAGTTGCTTGAGCTGTTGCCTCCAACTCTCCACTGCTGTGTGTGTATGGGGGGAAAAAAGTCTTCCAGAGTCCCAACCCCACGACTCCATGCCACCACTAGTTTAGTTGTACCTTGGAGTTGTCCGTTTCAGCACCGCAACTCTGTAGTAGCACTCCAAAGGAAAAATGGGAGGGGGGAGAAACTGGAGAGCAGCAGAAAGGACCAAGTTCACTGGGGTTTAAGGGTACAGTCCACTCTGCTCTGGTGACTGAGGCACCATGGCGAAGTTTTGGGTTCCAGCATCTAGCTTTTCCTGCTGAAATCACACCCCCAGCAATGGCGTGGGTGGTATTGAATAAACACTGTGGTCACGCGCACACACACAGTTCTAAAAAACTCCACCCCCTTTTCTCTGTAACCATGACATATGTCTGTATAGATACGTGTAGGTAAAAACAGCCTTATTTCAATGCAAGTAAAAACTAGAGTAATAAGAATGATGCTTATTATCTTCACTTACACAGCACTATACATCTAAGATTAAGTGCTTTACATAGATGGATAAGCATCATTCCCCTTTCCTAAATTCAAGGTCTCTCACTCTTTTGTTTAGCCAGCTTTGACCAACTGTAGAACTTCTTTGGAGTGGTAGACACTTTTTCTAGAATTTTTACTGAAGAGCTTATCAGATCTGAAAATCAGATCTTAAACTGGTCATACTAATTAGAGAACTCTCCTGATAACTAGAACAATGTTGTATTTAGAGAAGAAACCTTGAAATGGCTTCCTGAATGCCCTTGAACTAAGCAACTAGCAAGATGTACCTTACTGGAAGGTTTTTCGTACAGTACCCTGAAAGTTTTGCCTGTGTGAAGACAGTAGGAGTTTCTACAGAATGACTAGGGTGAAATAGCTAATCTAATTGTATAATCAATCTATTTCACCAAGGAAGTTTATTGAAATAGAGAATAACTATTGTCACAAGCTCACTGTTATATGGTCCCAATGGCTCCATTCAAGCATCAGAATTTTTGGAACTCGATTTTATAGTATGGGAAATTATCAAGATGCTTCAGTTCAAATTTACTTGTGCCATCAAAGTTGAAGCTGATGGCAAAATTATTATGTGACTTTGTTTGAAATACTCTTGGGGGGCAAACAAACTCTGATGATCATTTTGTGCTGGCTTATTGTTTAGTTCCATTTCCAGATGAGGTTGAGAAGCTCTTGCAGTGAGCTTCCCTGTAAGACTCAACAGGGCTTTCTGGCTGAACTCTGGTGTAGACACTCAAGAGTGGTACTGTAATGGAAATTATTCCCTCTTTTTCAGCTGCAACTGCATTTTCAGGGATTTCTATGTGCCTTAGACTTATGACTGTATTATTGCTAGGTTCTTCTGACTGGCAAGTGTCATACTTGTTGTCTTCTCCACCATCTGTAAAGAGGTCTAGCATCAAAGAAGCCTTTGACTCATGCTCTATGACATAAAGGCTGATGGTATCATTGTCTGTCAGGGCTTGAAGCAGTGACCTTGACCTTGCAATGGGTTTCCAATTAGTCTGCAAGACAAAACAAGAAATCATAAAATCAAAGAATATCCTGAGTTGGAAGGCATCCACAAGGACCATCAAAGTCCACCTCCTGGCCCTGCACAGGACAACCTCAAGAATCATACCATGTGCCTAAAAGCATTGTCCAAATAATTCTTGAACTCTGGCAGGTTTGGTGCCATGATCACCACCCTGAGGAGCCTGTTCCAGTGCCCAATCATCCTCTGGGTGAAGAATCTTCCTGACATCTAACCTAACCTCCCCTGAGACGGCTACATTGGTCCTATCACTGGTCACCAGAGAGAAGAGATCTGTGCCTGCCCCTCTTCTTCCTGTGATGAGAAAGCTCTAGACCATGATGAAGTCTCCCCTCAGTCTCCTCTTCTCTAGGCTAAGCAAACCAAATGATCTCAGCCATCCTCGTATGGCTTCCTCTCTAGAACCATTGCCATCTTTGTACCCCTCCTTTGAATACTCTCTAATAGCTTAATATCTTTCTTATATTGTGGCACCCAAAACTCCACACAATACTTGAGGTGAGGCAGTACCAGTGCAAAGCAGGACAATCACCTCCATTGACTGGTTTGTGATGCTGTGCTTGATGCACCCCAGGATATGGTTGGTCCTTTTTGCTGCCAGGGCACACTACTGACTCATGTTCAACTTGCCATTGGCCAGGACCCTCAGGTCTCTTTCTGTGGTGCTACTCTCCAGCGACTCATTCCCCAGTCTGTACATACATCCAGGGTGTCCTGGTTTGTCTAGGTCTCTCTGCAGGGCCTCTCTGCCTTTGAGGGTGTCAACATCTCCTCCCAATTTAGTATAATCAGCAAACTTACCTAGTATACCTTCGAGTACTTTATCCAAGTTGTTTATGAAGATATTGAAGAGAACTGGACCTAAAATGGAGCCTTGAAGCATCCCACTAGTGATAGGTTGCCAGCCTGATGTAACCCCATGATACCTTTGAACTTTTTTTATTTTTTAGCTTTTTGTAGATTTTAGAAGTAGTTGTGTAGTAAATTTAGATTTTAATGTAGCTGTATGATATGCCACCCTTTAGCACAGTAGTCTGCACATACCTGACCCTATTACCCTATTTCATATCAAATTTTTAAAATTCCTTTAGCATGTTTAGATTTCTTTTCAAGGTAGAATTGTAGAAAACACCTCTGTCTAAGAACACTGCACCCTAGGTCTGGACAACAAGATACTACGGATAGACAAACCCAGAACTTTGGAGGAGTTCCATGGACTGTACATGCTGTGAAGAAGACAAAGATGAGGAAGAAGGGGTCTCAAGGACCCCAGACTCAATTCCTGAAGAGGCATGCTGGGGGGCAGAACTGGGAGGATCTGGGGGGGTATATAGTTCTGGGATTGCAGGGGTCATACTATAAAATTGTGAAACCACCTCCTGGGTGTGCTAGTGTATTCTCCTGGGCCTAAAGGCCTAATTAAAGGACCTGCTCTTCTTATCTTATATACTAAATTGTCCTGGATTTTTTTTCTCCACAATCTTTTAAGGCGTTACACTATAACCCTTTGTGCCCAACTTGTGAGACAATTTTTCACCCATGTTCACATGTTTTTCCAGCTGCATGCTGGAAACTTTGTCTACACGAATGTGAGGGACAGTATCAAAAGTTTTACCGAAATCCAAAAAGATTACATCATTTGGCTTCCCTTGATCAATGAGGTTGGTTACCTTGTCATAAAAGGAAATTAAGTTTGACAAGCAGGACTTTCCCCTCATGAACTCGTGCTGGCTGTAACCAATGACTGCGTTGTCCTTCAGGTGTTTTTTAATACCTCCCAGAATAATTTCCTCCATAATTTTATCAGTCACCGACAGACAGACAGACAGACCATTAGTTTCCAGGGTCATCCTTCTTGTGTTTATTAAAAATTGGGACAACTGTCAACTGGTACTGTTGCAATGGTTGCCGGATTAGCAGTAGTTTGGTCAAAGGTTGCTGTGCAGAGCAGGCCTGAGAGAGGCCCACCGATAATTGGAATGTGCTAGCTGAGCAAAACCAAAGGAAAACAATAATCAAAAGATTAGCTCAAGCAGAAAGAACATAGTTTTCTAATCTACTGATAACTTGCACCTGGATTGTGGGAGTTAGTTAAATGGGTTTTAGAGTTAGGCAACTGGGGATGATTTATGGTGGGCTAGCTAATAGCTAATTGTGATTTGGATGAAATATTAAGTTTCAGTATGTACTTTGATGTGGTAACTTAGCAAATGACTTTGTGTGTCTGAGTGTATAAAAGATGTACTCGAAATGGGGGTCTCCGGGATTCTGACTTTGGGACACTAGTCCCCAGGTCCCCGGGCCCAGAATAAAGCACCGCACAAACTTACACTCTGTTGGTTTGTGTTTCCTTGCTTTGTCGGGCAACAGTCTTCTTGGCGACACCAGGTGGGACTCCGGGGGTCGCCGGGGCCGTGCACGAGCGATCCGCTCCATGCCGGCAACCAGGTGATTCCTGGGGAGACATAGTTCCGTGCCCGACCCCGCGCCCGTCGGACAACCATTTCAGGTAAGCCCGAAGGTGCTTTATTTTTTTTTTAGTGGTTATAGCCTACCTATAAGACGAGTTTGTGTATACTCGCTGGGTTGGGCTGAGAGAGGTGTTTCGGGGAAGCCTAGGCACTGGTCGTAAGACGCGGCGAAAGCTGCGCTGAGTCAGCATTTGCCGTACAGTGAAATTCGGCAAATTGGTTGTGGAAACAAGTTACGTAACTGCTCGTGGTATTTAACTGCTTGTGGCATTTTATTACTCGTGGTACCTGTTGTTTGTGTGAGTGTGTTGTGTTATTGTGGGTATGATGCCTTTTAAAACCTTTAGAGCGTTGTCTTGTTCTGAAACTAATATTCCTGATGATTCTCCGCTCGGTCGTATACTAAAGCACTGGAAGGAGGGGAACTTTGGGCAAGAACTAAGTAAGAAACAGCTAATTGACTATTGTAATAATGTGTGGCCTCAGTATGATACTGAAGGGATGCAGTGGCCAAAAAACGGCACTATGACACTAGAGATAATGTCTCCTTTACTGCAATATTTAAAAGATAACGATAAATGGGACGAAATACCATATTTAGATTTATTTTATTATCTGAGACGTAAACCTGAGTGGCAGAATGATAGTGGTGTGTTGGTGTTAAAAGCATTGAATGATGAATGTGCGGGATGTAAAGAGCGAAAGGTACGGTTTACTGAACCGGAGGAAGATGTTGCTTTGTTAGTCTCTCCGAGCCTTACCCCTACCGCACACCCACTGAGTGCAGCCCCCTCACGAAGGCGAGATTTATCTCCACCTATGCCCCCACTAGAATCATCCTCAGATGAGGAGGAAAGGGAGCACATTGATAGGACTCTGTTAGCGGAACGGACTCGTAGGGGAAGGAAAGAACGGGGAAGGAGTCGGGAGCGGAGACATGGAAGCGAGGGGAGGGCTATGTTGCCCTCACCCCCGAGGTTGATGGCCCCTCTGCGAGAGGCAGTCGGGGCAGGAGGAGCGCGGGTTATGGTAAAAGTGCCTTTCTCACCAAATGATTTATTAATTTGGAAGCAATCGGCAGGGGCGTATAGAGAAAATCCTGAGCGTGTGGTGCGTGTTGTTAAAATGGTTATAAAAACTCATAATCCGGACTGGAATGATTTGCAAGTTTTATTGGATACAATCCTAGATTCTACTGAAAAAGAGATGGTATTGCGAGTAATGGTTGAGAGAGCTAGGGAAAGGATTCGTGTGCAACCTGGCCAGGGGACAGTGAATGATTTGGTGCCTCGGGAGGACCCAGAATGGAATCCAAATGCAGCAGGTGACTATTATAGGTTAAAAACTTATCAAGAATTGTTGGTAGAAGGAATACGGAGCGGAATCCCAAAGACCTTAAACTGGTCTAAGCTATACTGTGTGCGGCAGGATAAGGGAGAATCTCCCTCTGCCTTCTTAGAAAGACTGAAGGAGACGGCTCGAAAATATACGGACTTGGATGTAGAGGCAGAGTCAGGGAAGTTACAGTTGGCTTTGATTTTCATGGGACAGTCCCAGGAAGATATTAGAAAGAAGTTGCAGAAATTAGAAGGCGAGGAGACGCGGAATTTAGAAAAATTGTTGGATGTGCCTTGGAAGGTGTACAATAATCCTGAAAAGGAGCAAACAAAGAAGCAGCAAGCGAGCATGTTAGCAATGTTGCAGGCGGCTGGAGGAAACTATAACAGAGGAAATAGGGGGAGAGGACATGGAAACAGAGGCAGAGGAGTTGGGAGAGGTTTTAATAGCCAGAGTGGATTTGGATTCCAGGGTGGACGTGGAAAGTTAGGGTTAAATCAGTGTGCATTATGCAAGGGTCAGGGACATTGGAAAAATGAGTGCCCCATGAATGCGGGAGTAGGAATGAATCCGTTTGTCGGGAACATGCAGGGTGCGGGTAATGGGACTCCGCAAGGTGTCGCTCAAGCATTTATGTTGCAAAACTATCAAAATCACAGCTGACTAGACCGGGACTTAAAGGTTGTCCTGGAAATAGAGGGAGAACCTATGAAATTTCGTGTAGATAAGGGAGCTAGTTTTTCAGCAATGAATCGGTTAATGGGTCCTTTAAGTAATTCAACTGTCCGTGTTGTGGGTGTATTGGGGTAAACAGAGGAACGAGCATTCTTGAGGCCACTGGATATTAAATTTAGGGGAAAACAATTGGATCATCAATTTCTTTACATGCCTAATAGCCCAGAATGTCTACTAGGGAGAGGTTTGTTGTCCTCCTTACAAGCTACTATTGTGTTTGAAAAAGGTAGGATCAAATTAGAAATCCCGGAAGAAAATGTAGCACAGATATTTGCTGTAAATGAAATAGAAACAGAAGCAATTCCTCAGGAAATAGAACATGCCGTTGTCCCTTGGGTGTGGGAGACTGGGGTCCCGGGATTATCTAAAGCAGCAGCTCCAGTACTGATAGAACTCAAAGAAGGAGCACAGCCAGTGCGAATTAAACAATACCCAATCAGTTTAGAAGCAAGAAGGGGGGTAGCGCCTTTAATTAAACAATTTGTAGGTCTTGGAATATTAAAAGAGTGTGAATCAGAATTTAATACACCAATCTTTCCAGTCAGGAAACCAAACGGGAAATACAGGTTAGTACAAGATTTAAGAGCAGTCAATCTTTTAACTAAGGACATTCACCCAGTGGTTGCAAATCCATATACCTTGTTAACATCTGTTTCTGAGAAATTTCAGTGGTTTTCAGTAATAGATTTGAAAGATGCATTCTTCTGCATACCATTGGCACCGGAAAGCTGGCATCTTTTCGCCTTTGAGTGGGAAGACCCCGACATGGGGAGGAAAAGACAGCTTACTTGGACGCATCTACCACAGGGATTTAAATATTTGGTAATCAGCTAGCAAAAGAACTTGAAGAGTGGAAGACATCACAGGTAAAAGACTCTCCTTTTTCCTACATAGTATTGCAATATGTAGATGACATCCTTCTGGGTACAGAAGGACGAGAGCTGTGCTGCAAGCTAACCATTGAACTGTTAAACATGCTGGGCCAAGCAGGTTATCAAGTCTCAAAGGAAAAGGTCCAATTAGTTAAACAGAAGGTTATTTACCTGGGTTGCGAGATTTCCCGAGGAGTTCGGCGATTAGGCGCAAACAGAGTAAAAGCTATCTGTGCTATCCCGGTCCCACGGAATAATCAGGAATTGAGATCTTTTCTAGGAATGGTTGGCTGGTGCCGACTATGGATTCCTGACTTCGGACTCCTCGCTAGACCACTGTATGAAGCAGTGAAGGAGCCGCAGCTAGTGTGGAGACCGGCACAGGAAAAGGCATTCCAGGACTTAAAGAAGGCTCTGCGGGAAGCACCTGCTTTGGGACTGCCTGACATAACAAAAGATTTCCAGCTGTATGCCTGCGAAAGACAACGGTTGGCTCTGGGAGTACTCACGCAACGATTGGGATCCTGGAAGAGACCCGTTGGTTACTTTTCAAAGCAACTGGACGCTGTAAGTGGGGGTTGGCCTGGGTGTACTTCTCCAGATTCCCAAGTGTAAGGCTTGATATGCATGCAGGTAACTCCAGGCACCAGGCTGTGGCTAAAGTTTTAAAGAGAATTTATTTTAACAGTTGAGAACACTGCCATATATATATGTATGATCAATACAGGTAGCTGAGAAGGCAAAGGGGGAAACCTGTTTTGGTGCTTTTATAACAACACCTTTCTCGTGCGCAATAAAACCCCAGGTTGAATTCTCCCCCTGTGCTTTATGGCCTGCCTGACCCCCCTGAGGGGGCCTCCAGGCATGCCTGAGAATTTTATCACTTATATCAAGGGAGTTACCTCTTGGCAGACAGATAAAGAGAACGTAGCATCCTGCATGAGAACAAATTTCTTCCCACTTAAAAGCTTTTCCCTGACAGCAAAAGTTTCCTTGAATGTGTGCTAAGCTCTCCCTCCTTGCTATTTCTTCCAAAGGTCTTCTGCTCCTACACAAATACTGTTCAAAATCATTGAGAGAGGTCTTGTGATGACATCAACCAGCTCTTTGAATACTCTTGGATGAATCCCATCAGGACCCACTGACTTATAGGGATCCAGTTGTAGCACGAGATGCCGCACAAGTTCAGGGTCGTCTGGGAAGTTATTCTCACAGCCATGGTCCTCCAGCTCAGGGCACTGAAACCCCCTTAGCCTATGATCAGTGTTGAAGACAGAGGCAAAGAAAGCATTAAACCTCTCTGCTTCGTCTATGTCCTTGTTTGTCAGGTGACTGTCTGTAGTAGGTTGACCCTGGCCAGATTTCAGGGACCCACTAAAGTCACTCTCTCACTCTCCCTCTGCAACTAGACAGAGGAGAGAGGAAAAAAAAAACAGTTAAGGATTTTTGAGTTGAGATAACAGCTGGGAGAGGCCACTTGCTGATTACCTTCACAGGCAAAACAAGTCAGAGTGGGGATAATACTTAAATTTATTACTAAGTGGATAAGAGCTAAAGAGTGAGAAATAAAACAGTCTTAAAAACATCTTCCCCTCACCCCTCCTTCCTTCCATGCTCTCCCTCCTCCCCCCCCCCAGCAGTACAAGGGGACAGGGAATGGGGGTTACAGTCAGTTGTTGTTTCTACCTTCTGCTCAGGGTCCCTCCTATGGGAGACAGTCCTTGATGGATTTCTCCAACATGAGTCCACCCCTCGGGCATCAGTTCTTCCCAATCTGTTGTCCTGTGGGTCACTCTCCTCCATGGGGGTGCAGTCCTTCATGAATGAGCTGTACTGACATGGGTCCCCCACAGGGCCATGAGTCCTACCCGGGAAAAACCTGCTCCAGCATGGGTTTTCCTCTTCATGGGCTGCAGGTCTCCTGCAGGACCCCGCTCCATCCTGGGCCTCCCGTGTGGTAACAGTCTCCTTAATGCATCCACCTGCTCCACATGGGCTCCTCCATGGGCTGCAGGGGGACAACCTGTTTCACCATGGACTTCACCACAGGCTACAGGGGGCCACAGCTCTGAGTCCTTCCCCTGCTCCCGTGGGGTCCCTCCTCCTCCCCCTCCTTCTGCACTGACCTTGGTGTCTATGTTGTTATCCCATGTTATCACTCCGTGCTTCCCTGGCTGGAATTTCTTCTGCACAACACTCCTCTATTCTTATATATGTTATCACAGAGGTGTTACTATGCTTGCTAATTGGCTAAACCTTGTCCAGAGGCAGTAAGTCCGTCCTGGAGCTGGCTATCATTGGCTCCATAGGACAGGGGAATGTGGGAAAAATCCCTGTCTTTTAAATTTATGGTGATGAAAGAATCCACAGAACAAAGAAAATAACTATATAAGTAGAAAAATTTCATAACAGCCACGTGTTGGGTGCTCAGGTTCCAAAATTCCCTAGAGCACACCTTTCAATTCAAAATCCCCGCCTTTTAAACATCCTTAAAGTCTAACCCTGTTTACATCATGGGGGGGGGGGGGGTGTTTCTCTTCCTGGGATTGGCTCTTCGGTGCCTCCCGTCATGCCAGGGGCAGAGTTTCCAGCAACATGGCAGCCTCCATGTGCCCGCATGGCCAGCCACGTGGTGAAAGGCTGAGTCAGCTTTATTTTCAGCTAATATGCAATTTCCCTATTCCCGTACGGTAAGTCCCTGACATACATTTCAGGGCTGAACTGTATGTCTTACAACTCTTGCGGTACGCCTAAGGTTAGTAATAAAACAAAAATAAAAATAACTTTATGTTAGTAATTTCACCCATTTTATCTGCTTATAATAAAACCGGTCCTTTATTTCTCATAGGAAGCTTCTAGCAGCTTCTAACAGAAGCCACCCCTGTAGCCCCCCCACTACCCAAACCCAGTCACAGAAACCCCCGACACCATCCACATCTTGTAATGGACCAATGTTATTTCTGGACTGCCTTTTACTCCTGACATATTTTGAAAAACATCTTTTTATTGTCCCCCACATTTCTGCCCAACTTCAACTCTAATTGAGCTTTGGCCACATGAAGTTTGTCCCTACAGTGGCAAGGAGCATCTCTGTATTCCTCCCATGTCACCTGACCTTGCTTCCACTGGCCATACACTTTCATTTTTTGCCTTAGCTCTGGAAGAAGATCCCTGCTCAACCAAACTGACCTTCTTCCTTGTCTGCTTGGCTTCTGACATTTTGGGAATTGCCTGTTCCTGTGCTCTTAGGATGTGGTGCTTAAAAAGTGACCAGCAGTGATGGACCCCAGCAGGTGTCCCTTAGTTCCTTAAAGAATAATTCATTGGTGTCATTGTCCCGGTTGGTTGGTCTATAGTAGACTCCTACAATGACATCTCCATTATTTGTTTGTCCCTTAATCCTTAACCAGAGGTTCTCAACCATGCTGTAAGCTCCATACATTTCAACCCTTCTGTTACATACAATGCCACCTCCTGTGGCTCGCCTGCCTTGTCTATCCCTCCTGAAGAGCCTGTAACTATCCAACATGGCCCTCCAGTCATAGGTTTCATCCCACCAGGTTTCACTTGTGCCAATTATGTCATATCTCTGGGACTGGACCAAAGCTTTGAGCTCCTCTTGTTTGTTCCTCATTGTTATAGTTTCCCTTCCTTTTTCATTAGCTTCTGGTGAATTTTTTTTCATACAAACTGCTTGGCCGGGGTGGGGATGAGTCTTTCAGGTTCTAGTGTTTGTTGGCTCAGACCTTAATGACTGTCTTATTGATATGCTAAATGACTCCTCTCAGCAAGAAGCAGGACTCTTTTGTTTCCCTCTAGCCAAGCTCAGGGGTGGGGGGTAGGGAGAACTCAGGTTTGGTTTTGTTTTCCCTCAGGGGAAGTGGGACGGACTGGGTTTTGGGGCGGAATTGGGGATGTGGGTTAGGGGGAAGAGGAAAGCTCCAGGGGTCGGGATTTGCTTGCTCTCTGCAAGGTCACCTGGCTGCTTTTTGGTCCCGGCTTGCATCTGTCCCCTCACGCCCTGTTCTGCCCACTGCCTGGACTTGTCTCAGATTTCATCAGAGAAGTAAGTTCCATCTTGGCCAGACACTTCCCTTGAGCCCTCTCTCCTCAGTTTTCCTCTGCACGCCTTGCTTAGTCCATGCTGCAGTCTCTGGGGATGGTGCCTCCCGAGTTTGCAGTGGGGCCTTAGGAGCCAACAGGTGCCGAGAGGCCTTTTGTACAGACGGCTCCACCCTTTGCTCCCATGGACGGCAGACCGACCTGCGTGGTCGTCCCCTCTCCAGGCTTTGCACGCTGCATCTGAGCTCCCGGAAGTTTGTGCCGTAGTCCTGCCAACCACTATAGAGCAATTGCAACCTCCACTCCTCCAGAGATCCAACATCACCCCGTGCTGACCATCGGAAAGCAACTGCAGCCTTTGTTCCACCAGAGATCCAACAGCGCCCCCTGCTGGTCATAGTTAGAATTGTGCCAAAAGGCAAAAAGTATTTAACTGTTTTTTGGTGGGAATTTGGGTTCAGTATTGTTGTTTGGGGGTTTTTTCCTTTTGTTGTGTTACCTATACACATATATTCTTTAATAAAGGGCTGTTAATTTTTCTTTCTCCACATTTCCTCTACTAGACCCTCTTAATTTTGAATTTACATTTGCTTAGACAGAGGAGCTTGGTCTTCCTCATAACTCACCCTCTTTAGCAAACACTTCTGTCTCATTAAACTGAGACACTCATGCTGTGTGCATTAGTATCGAAACATTTGAAGTGCAGTTAATTGTACCAATGGCTTGTGGAGCAGATTGAAGAATCTCATTAGCACTCAGTCTGTCCAGTTTTGGTGTGCCATCCTATTGCTTATCACTGGCAAGCGTGGTTTTGTTCCTTTCCCCCTCATAGTCTAGTTTAAAGTTTTATCAATCAGACCTGCTAATTCCTGTGCGAAAACCCTTTTTCCCCTCTGAGAAAGGTGCATCCCATCAGGTGTCAGTAAATATGGTGTTGTATAGACTATACCATGGTCAAAAACCCCCAAATTCTGCCAATGATACCAGCCTTGGAGACATGTGTTGATCTGATGGGTCTGCCTGTTCCTTTCAATATTCTTTCCTGATACTGGAAGTATTGAGAAAAACACTACCTGTGCTCCTGATCCTTCAACCAATCACCCCAAGGCCCTTAAATCCCTTTTCATAGTTCCGATTTTAGCAAGGAATTTTTCTTTCCCTTCCCCCTGCCGTGTGTGCCCTGTGTATAGGCCATCAGGTAGCTATCAGGTGAACAAAAGAATCGGTCCGGTCCACCAATGGCCGAGAGATCAGTCTCCTAGGAAATGGGCAGATGAAGGATCTAAAGTCTACTTTTTTCTCTGTCTCTGGGGCAACGTGGGGGAGGAGAAATTTTGGTGGGCTGTGGGGTGTGACTGGGGCTGGTGTGTGTGCCGGTGTGTGGCTGGGGCTGGGGACGGCAGGACACATCGGAGGAGAAGCTCGCTGCTGTCTCTTTTTGCCCTGAGCCATTGCCAGCTGCAGTTTTTGCCTGAGGTGGATTCTAACTAGCTGAAGATCATGAGTTTTCTTCCATTGGGAGACCTTTCTGTTTTATTGATGTTTTTTTTTTATTTTATTTCCTTTCCCTTCACCCCCCTCCCCCCCCACTCTCTCTCTCCTTTCTCAGTGTGGTTTTTTCTCCGACATACCCTGGAGGGTGTTACTTTTCCCCCTTCCCCCATCCCACGTGGCGGTAACCAGGGATCTCACAGCGCCGCCTGGTGACAGGCACCGGACATTACAAGTTCTGCACCTCCAGTGATCCAACAGCGCCACCTGGTGAATGGTACAGGACATTACAAGTTTTGCATCTCCAGTGACCCAACGGTGCCCCCTGCTGACTGTGGCTGGAACTGCACCAAAGGGTGCTAAAAATTGAACTGTTTATTTTTTCCTTTTGCTGGTTTATCGGTTTGTTCTTGAAGGGGATTATTGATGGCTTTAGGAGTATTGCTTGGTTGTTTTACTTGGGGTTTTCCCCCATGTTTCTGTTAATACACACATCCCTTTTAATAAATGGCTGTTATTTTCCCTTTTCCATAATTTGTTTTCCTTCAATTGGAGCCTCTTAATTTTGGATTTATAATTGCTTAGAAAGAGAAGTTTGGGTCTTTTCTCCTAACTCATCCACAGCAAAAGACCCTTGTCTCATTTAAACTGAGACATCCCTTTTGATTGCCCTTGGACTTCACTTTTTTATCTTGTTGCTTCTGATATGAAGAACCAAAAGTGGATAATAATCAGAGGGCCACACTAGACTAGAGAACTTTTTAATAACCCAGACCCCTGGGAGGCAGCAGACTTCCATATGGGTTGGGTCTGGTCTGCATATCAGTCCCTCCATTCCTTCTGTAACTTCTTCATCTGGCTACACAGTTCACTGACAACAGCACACCTTCTGCAAAAGGAACGAATGTCAGCTCCAGCCTCACAGAGAACCATCAGGCCCTCCTGGCAACCTGAGACTTGGAGAACTACATCTACCATCTGAAGGTCTGTGTCGTGGTTTTGTTCTGGGTCAATTTGCTTTCCACCCCCCACACAATTACTACTAGTTGAGAGAAGGTTTTTGCAGACAAAAGAGAGACAGGATTTGGGGCAAATAGTATAAACATTTATTACTAGTAAAACAAAAACTACTAATAAATTAAAAACTAAAGAACTATATCTACAACAATTTCTACTCAAGTTGAAGTGCTATATATTTACAGAAATACTTCTTCCCCTTTTATACTAGTCCAAGGAGAAGACGTAGTCTCATTCTCTATTTTCGGAGTTCCAGCTCTCTCTCTCTAGTAATAGATCTTCAGTAGCAGCACTATTCTCTTTGCAGCTGGAACTTTTTCTCTCTCTTTCTCACTCTGTGTTGGCTTCCAGAGCTGGGTTTATCCCCCTCCTGGGCTAAGACTGAAGGCTGGGGGTTACCCAGGTCCTGAAGGGTCTTCCTTCCATAGGTTTGCAAGGGGACACTTGCTTACTATGGATCTTTTTCCACAGGGTTACAGGGGATAATGGCTTAAGAGTTCACCCCTGTTTCCCTATGGAGGTCCCTCCCCATGGGAGAACAGTCCTTGATAGACTTCTCGGCACGGGTCTAGCATGGATCCACACACACACGGATCCCAACATCTCACATGGGCCGTCTCGCTCCAGCATGAGATTTCTCAGGGTCACCAAATCTTCAACAGCAGTATGGATCCACACACACACGGATCCCAGTATCCCACCTGAGTCGTCACTGCTCCAGCACAGGTTTCCCTCAGGGTCACAAATCTCCACCAGGACTCTGCCTCACTTCAGTCCTTCTCATGAAGTCTCGGTTCTCTTTGGTACATCCACAGACTCCTCTATCAGC